AGATAAATAGATGAATGAAAAAAGAAAGCTCAACAAGTTTCCACTTATAGTCATATGATACATGAACTGATTACTGAGGTGGAGTAAAGCCATAGAGGGCTGGAAATGCAACACCCCAGGTTCAAAATTGAATAAATCAGGATAGTCATTCTTAAAAATGAACTCAAATGCTTCATTAGAATCAATTGACACTGAATAACATTGATGTGCAAAATTTCAATAACGCTACTGATAATAATAATTTTCTTTTGGATTAACATGTGACACAGCGAAATCATTCAAACTGCCCTAAAATGGTGCATCACTTCTAAAGACTTTAACACGAACGATAACATCAACAATAGCATGCTAGTTCATCATCAATTGTGGTAAATTTCTTTTCCAAAAAGTCTTAATGGTTACATACCAATCGATTCCATCCTATTGAGCTTCCAGCCAAGCACTAGCCCACTTTGGGCTGGAAATGATTTTCTTCAACTCGATCAATAAACCGCTATAAGGACCATACTTCGACTGCTGATATTTCTTGTGTCTAGCAAGTAAAAAGACGCTGATTCATATCAGCGGGCCCACAATGTGACATGTATACTGGTCAGCGGTTTTTTTGGAGCAACAGCTGTCACTAACATATCAATGTGGATGTCCGCCATAACAACAATGCACTGCAGGAGTTAAACGATTGCATTTGAGGCTTATTACATTTAGGACTAAATGTTGTTACATTTAGGACTTTATTACATTTAGGACCAAATTTTATTACATTTAGGACTTTATTACTTCAACAACATCCACCACACAGTAACCTCGTGCGTTGGAAGTTAACGTCTCCTGCCCCAACACTGCAGGAGACGGGGCCTACGGTTTTACGTCCTATCCGAGAAGACGAAGTAATGTGAGGACACAACGGTCATGCCCCAGCCAGGACTTGAACCCGGGCCGTCCGACCCAGAGTCAAGCTGGACCACTGGACTACTGACACACTGACCACTGGACTTCTCCCGCCTCGGATGAAATAAATCTGGGACTCTGGTCTTAAGAGACATATCGCGTTGATTGAAAGGACACAAAAGCTAGAGATATACCCGCGGGTTTGAGGCAATCCGTGACTTTATTTGTGTATAAACTATGCACTGGTATGCTTTTTCAGCCCGATTAACGCCTGGATTTTGAGAATTCTTTCCCACAAAGTAGTGAATTTTTGATATGCAAATTAAGGTCGAAGAGAAGGGTCTCCTCTGATCACGCTAGTGTGAAAAATATTTCAGCTGAAGTTTCCATATTTTGTTTGTGAACTAACTGAATTCATTGGAGAATAGCTAAATTATTGAAACATGTGTCCTAAACCCTTTTGATGGGTTTTTTCTGACAAAGTGTAAATAGGCGTGAGAATTTCACGATTTCAAGGAGCGTGGGAGGAGTTGATATGCCAGACTTGGTGGTGATAATTTTAGACTTATCCCACCCGATTGTATGGTTAGTTAGATATGTGTGCTCCGATAAAGCTGAATTTTCTTTTTTGCAAAAGAACACCGCTTTTTGATGCTGTTTCAAACATGTACCAAACTGACGTTTGGTCCGTCCAATGTACTCGTTATCACAGTCATTGCACGGAATAGAATAAAAAGCGTCGGTTCGTTGTTCTTTCGTGACAGGGTCTTTAGGTTTGACAAAAATATGCCTTTAAGTCCGAAGAGGTTTTTGAGCAACTTTAACATTGTGGCTATTCAAAATTCTCTTGATGGGTTCCCTACCACCTTGGATATAGGGAATAACAGCAAAACCAGTCGTTAGTTCCCTCTCATCAGGAGTGCTACTGGTTGTAACTGGTTTTGGGCAGTTACGTAGAAAAGTTTTGGTATAGCCATTCGCCTTTAGGAAATTAGAAAAATATTTCCTCTCCTCAGCCTTCGAATCGAGTGAAGATGATAAACAGTCAGCCCTCGCAATATCACGACAAAGCTTTGTCTCTGCTTAATGACAAAAGTACGGATGCAGTCTTGAAAAAAGCTGGTAAGATTAATTACTATACATACAAAATGTAAACAGTAGTGACGGCTTATGTCCATGTTTTTATGGCTGACTTAAAATTCATAAGCCGGGAATTCCATTGAGACCTATTGTCTCTTTGGTAAATTATCCGACTTATGCAATTTCTGGTTATCTAGCGAGAATTTTGTCGCCTGTTGTTGGGAGTACTGATTACACTGTCAAATATTCCTGCGAATTTGTGGATTTCATAAGAGACAAAACTCTTGACGCTTGTGAAGAATTAATATCTTTCGACGTTATTTCGCTCTTCACTAAAATCTTATTTGATCTTGCCGTTAAGGTTGCGGAGGAGAGACTCAGAGGAGATGCTTCCCTAGAAAAAAGAACTTGTTTGATGTCTTTTTACCTCAAAACCACGCAATTTGCATGCAACGGCACCTACTATCAACAGGTTTTCAACATCTCTACTGTCATTGCCAAAACAACTAAATACTTATGAAGCTAAGTGTCTAAAGGTCTTGAAGGAAAAAAAAACTGAAATAAATATTGGTTCCAACTCATTTCAAAGGAATAATTTAGGGTATAGAGGGCTTTGCGAGTCTATTACATTGTTGAAATAGGCTGAAATTCATGAATCAGCAAATGGTCGACTTTAATACACACTCGTTTAGTGGGAACAAGGGATCTTCGATGCAAATAACTTGGTCCCGCTTTCAAATCAAAGGGAACAAAACATTCCAGTAACATGCATGCGATTCTCAAATAACTCGAAGCTGTGAATGTTGTTGTTTCTGTATCACATTGTATCACTTAGGTCAAAATAATTTTGACGAAAGAAACTCGAGTTTTCGGGATGTAACTAAAGCGTTATAAAATTTGGATACGCTTTTGTCACCTGTATAAAACCTGCCAGAAATACGACAGGTAAGAATTTCACTTTATTGAGGTGATTCTGATGACTCAACTGATTCTTATAGTAATTGTCAGTAGCGCCACCTGTCTCAGTTCATTATTGAAGTCGCAGTCTGTGGCATTTCGAAAAGAAACCGATTAGACTGTGTGAAGTAAAGAGTCGGAGCTAAGGAGTAAACGAATTTTCATGAATCCTTCCAAGAACCTGTTGGTGTTTCTTTTCCTTGCAATCTTGCATTTGACAAGTGGAGAAGGTCAGTGTCTAGCTTTGTTTCTATGAATGAAAAAAATATATTCATTCGTCATTCAAATTCTAGGTGTTGGTGGTCCCTTTTAAATCAGTGGTAAAGGTATCTTAAGCATCAACGTTTTAAGCTAGGAACCTTTTCCAAGAAGTTGATTTTTTTTTTGAGAAGTCATAGTTTGAGCTGAGCTTTTAAGTTTGCTTAGCTTTATCTTTTGAGTTCGAGTCCTTATTTCTCTTCAATTTCCCACATTTTTCAATCTGTACACGTTCATCTATAGTGTTTATGTACACAGAAAAAAGGGTAAAAGGGGAAAAAAAAGCAAAGTCACTGAGACGGTCGCTAAGTAAGAAAATAAAAAAAAAAGTTTCTCATGCTACATATTTTAGAAAATAAAATGCAGTTTAAGTACACGTGTCTTAATCCAAAGAAATTATGTAAAAATTTATTGAAAGTGAATCTGCACTGCGCGAAATTTGTGGCCACGGAATAAACAACTCCAAGACGTGTAGAAGTAAATTCACTTCAATTCCTCAACGGCGTAAATGACGTAATTTGAAACTAATATAAAAAACAATCACGAAAGTCACACAATATACGATAGAAAGAAATAGCAAACAACAGGAAGGAAAGAGAACTATAAAACACTTACATTGTTACGGCCACAGAAAAGACCAAGATTGATACTGCTATTGCGAAACTGCTGTGTCCAAAAAAAAATTTGCAAAGGACGACGGAAAAAAGCGGTACGTTACTGAACTATGCCTAGTGTGAAAACGAGAAAACATGCATATTACTTGCTATATGATAAATTATGCGAAGTAGCAATAAGGCATCGATAGGCAATGAAATGACCAAAAAGGCGCTAACGAAATAATAAGTGTAAACGTTCTCTAGTTACAGGACGAAAAGACTAAAATAATAAACTTTAAACACGCATAGAATCCAAGACAAAAAAAAAATGTCGCACTTAGAACTTATAGAAAGGATGTAAAATTTATTGTTGCTAGAGTGCTTGCGGGCAACTACATTGAGATGATTGCTTAATGTTTTAAAAGACTTCTCGCGGGTTTATTTCTTTGTTTTATCGGTCAACCATCCAGTCCATAAGATATCACCCATACCAAGTGAAACCAGACCCCATTGGCTAACTGTTTGGCCGATGGCTGGTGACTGGTGGTTGGTGGCTGGTACCTTGACAGAAGGTATTTCCATTGTACTTCGATGCTTCAATATTTGGTTGAGTGGCTGGTTTATTGATTCGGTCAGGTTGATCGACTGAGTGAATGATCCTTGGCTTATTATAAGAGAATTTTGTTCCACAAGACTTTTCATTTATTCCAAGTGGTTTGAAATTTCAAAGAGCGACCCAACCGCTAGAAAATTATCTTACTAGTGCTAAAAAGACAACTATGGATGCCTTCAGTTTGTAAACAGAGCTAGTAATATGTCCTCACAAGCAAAGCCATAGCTCTTTCTTGTCTTGCTATCCTGAGAAATCATCATTTATGTCCGCCCTTCAGCAGTTCGAGTTTTCAGCACATTTGGTGATAAGTTTGGAAACTTTTGGATTCAACTCTTTGGAATCTAGGGCACGAAATATTTCAGTATTTTGTAATAGAGGAGATTAAAATTAAATGTTTTATAAGAAAAGGACTGAACGGTGTTTCTTACATTTATTGTGTACAAGAGACCACGAAGTTTTCAAGTCATGGGGTGTTTCGGTAGTCGAGCTAGAGAGCTGTATGAACTGTGTAGCATCTAAATTAAGATTCGTGGATTAGAGTGTTAAAAATAGTCCAGTGTCGGTTTAGAGATATTTTTTGTTACAGTTTCAAGTGCATCGTTTCTTAAAAACAGTTGTGTTTATATTTTTTAGATGAAGGATGTGCGAAATTGACGTATGGGGATCAATCTTTTGACGGGCCAGTGGTCTACTCTCCAATGAATTGGTTTGAGACGCCGGCAGTTGTTAAACTTGAATCAGGTAATGAATTTATCAAATATGTACTTAGTTGTTGTCATATATATACATACCTTCCCTCCGTAAAGATTTGATTGTCATTAATTGGTGTTGGTATCGGTAAAAGCCAAACGGCTCAAAAGTATTTTGAGCCGTTTGGCAAATGCTTTTCACATTTTGCGTTTTAAATTTGAGAGTTTCGAAACATATTTGTTGGATATTCGCTTTGATAGCTTTCGATGTGCAGATAAGTTGTTGACATTAGTTAAAAAATTTTCATCTCGTAGATGAAAAACAAAATTGGTAAAAAAAGGTTAATTTCTGTTTTCTCTCCAGTCTTGAGGCTTGTCGGGGAAAAAAGTCGAGTTTCTGTTTCTTGGATTTTCGGGGATCATATTATTTCAGTAGGGTCAGTTGTCGTCAATGAGTATGGGGGGGGGGGGGGGGGTGACAATAACCTTGACTTCCAATTAATTGGTAATGAGGTGGGATCGTAAGAATGTTACAGAGCTTTGAGGGGGAATCAGTTAAAAATTTTATCTTGATACAACTAAAAATCTTCCCACCGCAGACAATAAATAATGACTGGTTCCTCATGTCTACTAGACCAATTAGAATTAAAATTTAGCAAAAACAAGTAAAAATCAACACTTATATTCTCTTAGCAAAAACCAATGCAACCTGATCTACTTACAAAATTAACTCGATGCGCTGCCCTAACTACTTATTTTGAACTCTCTCATTAGCGTGTTCGGGCGAGGAAGCACTTGGGCTAGAGAGTGGTCTCATTACTGATCAGCAGATTACCGCTTCATCCTCATGGGATGCGGCACACGGACAACAGAACGCCCGACTAAACCACCAAGCCGCCCGAGGTAAAACAAGTGCCTGGTCAGCGCAAAGCAATGATCTCAATCAGTGGCTTCAAATCGATTTCGGACGAAATGTAAAAATTACGAAGCTTGCGACTCAGGGACGTAATGACTACGGCGACCAAAGGGTGAAAAGTTATACTCTCGATTACAGCGCGGAAGGCAGTAACGTTTTTCAGGCCTATCAAGAGAATGAATCAGATAAGGTGCAGTGGTTTCCTTTATGTTGCATCTTATGTAGCGAGGGCTCTAAGGAGCTTTGGAATTTTTATGTAATTTTTTATTTAGTTTTAATAATGAGGGTCACATTTCATAAGACATATCGCCATTTCGTGTCTGCTTATCTCTATTTTAAATTTGTGTCTGTATGTGTAACACATCTGGCTTCCCATTGATTCTCAACCATGTGTAAATCTATAATAAAGTTCTGATATAGCGCGTGCTGTCATTGGTTGAAAGAGCGTGCTCTATGAGAGTATAGAGCATAGAGCTGAGCGAAAGCTGTCACGCCATCTGTCAAATTGTACTATGTTCGACCTTTTCCGGGACTTCTTTTTAGCTTTTTTTCCGATAATTGAAAGTGAAATTTCGGAACAAGCGAGCCGGCAAGTAGCAACAGAAGAACCAAACAAAGGTTTGTAAATATACCAGGAGTCGTAATTTACGTTATTAAAACGTGAGCAGATAAGAAAATCCTCCAAGGAAAAACGAAATAGACATTACGAGTTTTAAAGATGTTCACGCTCAGTTAGATTGCAAGCTTACGCACGGTAATAAAAATCAAACACAGCTAACACTCGTAGAGTATGTAAAGTTAAGTGTTCAAAAATAAAACAGAACAAAACAGAAATGATGAAAAATATAACCAAACTGGCATAACTGTTAAAAATTAATACTAGTCAGGACGGTGTCTGAGCGAATATGATCATGCTGAATTCCATCGCGGCTCGCTCATCATGGCAATCTCCGGTCATCACAGTAAAGCAAGCCACAGAAACTACATCGGCCACTCTTCGAGTGAAAAAAAAAGAGCATGCTCTGATATCCTTTCCGATGCGTTGAGCGGAAAGTCACATCAATCACTGCGGCCGAGTTTTGCGGTGCTGTCATCCCGAGCGATCTTCATGTTCCAGTGAATTCGGCTGTCGTTCACTAAAAAAAAACTCGCCTTGAACAGTTTGTTTTCTATCTTGTCGTGTGAAAAAATTCGCGTGTTTTTACGAGCCATAATTTGGCTGAAGTTCATTGAACATTTCACTTCAAGATTCTGTATTAGAGACTTAAAAACTTCAAGCGAAAGTGTTAAATTCGACCTGCCGAACTATTTAGTTTGTAAACTATCGCAGATTGTGAACATTGATGGTTTTTTAACTTTGATGATTTGACACTTTTGACAGCTTTTATCTTGTACAGCCAATCCGATTATTTGAACCATTTTAACAGGGATTCTGATTGGCTTATTGTAGCGTGCTTTATGAGAGTATAGAGCATGCTGACGACACTGTTGTTCGCTTTGAAAATAAAGTTTGTTTGGAAAATCGAAAGTAATGCTTGGGGAATTTAACGGATTCTTTATTATAAAACAAACAGAGAAGCCCCTATACTTCTCTCGTGCTCTAGCCGCTTCCTAAGTGCTTTATAACAGAACAGAGCACAGTCAAGGCTTCTATATTTGTTAAATAGCTGATGTTTTTCATTCGAATTGTTTAGCAATTCCAATTAGCGGTCTTTCCCCGCGCTTCTAGTCGTTCATCGCAAGGTTAGCCAGTCTCTCTCCTCCCTAAAAACAGGTGTGAATGGTTTTGAGAGCCGAAATTTGAGGTTCTATGGCACTGGAATTGCCGTAAAACATCACCAACGGTGGATGCATCGATCTTTGTTGAAATTCGCTAAGGCTTAATTTTTTTTTTTTAGCCAGCGATTGTCTTTGCAGAAGTAATCTGGGTTCCTTGTGGAATCACATGAATTGTTCATTTTATTTTCCAGGTTTTTAATGGAAATGCAGATCAGAACACCGTGGTTACCCATGTCTTGTTGCAACCAATCACAGCTCGATATGTCCAAATAAAACCAAAATCATGGAATGAACATATTTCCATGAGAGCCGAGTTTTACGGCTGTGTTCTCTCAGGTAAGAGACCGGTCATTTAAGGGGGAGGGGGTAGGGGAGGGAAGCAGGTGGTTGTGTCATTGTGTCATAATCAAATTTACCTGATTCCCCCTCTCCCCGAGGCTCTACAATATCGTTATGATCATCTCTCGTTGGCAGTCTATTTTCTGTATTCCCCCATTCATTATGTTGGCGACGAATAATCCCCCCTTCCTATCCCTTAAAACCACGTAATCCCCAAATTACTCCGCACCCCTCCTCCCCAAGGTGATTATGGATCCTTAATAGAGATAAGATAAAACGAGGAATTACTCCATGGTACATGGTTATCATCAATCATCTTAGACAGTACCTTGATCAATTTATGCTTTTTTTTTAATACCTCGAAACAAATTACAGACCGTTATCAAGTACTTGGTCGAAATGTTCACATGGATTACGTTCAAGAGCATCTTCGTACAAAGAGAGAGGTAACCTTTGGAGAGACCCAGGAGCGAGCCAATAGAATTGAGCTTGAAATTCTAACTGATACTGTATATGTTAAGGTAGGTATTTTCACAGTTAACTTTGGAAAAGGGAAATTTTTTTTTTCAGTGATACCCATCCGTTTGTTCCCAAGAACCTTTCGTACTCATTCGATTCGAAATAAATTCGGACGATTCGTTTCCAGTTTGTTTCAATTCGTATCCGTCCAACATTCAGTGGCGATCAAAACCTAGGAGATCTCAGGAACAGATGTTGATTGTTGCGCACGTCACGTTAGTAAAGAGACAAGCGGGTAAAACACAAACAAAGCTATTTTTTGCATACTTGTAATCTTCTTAACGATAACCACTAAATTACTATTACTGCCCAGCGCGATGTAAGGGTGTCATATAAAAACTGGACACCCCACAAATAAAACTTCTTCAACGCAGATTATATTGCTACTGATTGCAATATTTGACATCAGAAACCCGCTATACTTTCAGGTAAAGAGGATTCAGAAACATACTTAACATAGAAAACGAACATAAATTAATATGGTTACGAAACGACAAAAGTAACTGGGTGCGATTGGTCTTAGCAGGATACAAAATGTCCGTGGGTAGGAAAAAAGTGGTAACCGTTTCAATCAGTAATATAGAACCCCTATGTTTCCGAGACCTCTACGAATAACAGTTGGATGAAGAACATATTGTAGCAATCGAGGCCATTTAATTGACCGTTGAGATCGCTTTTTATTAGCTTTGGTTTCTGACATTCAATCGAAAAAGCCTTTCCGTCTAGAATGTCCAATAGAACTCAAACAAAAACAAGGAACAGTATTTTTACAAATTAAACTACATTGACGTGCCTCAGAGCGGTTTCGGTTTACATGTAAGGAATCACTCTGCTTATCTCCCATAGGGTCACGTAGATCTGCGTGGTATAAAAAGATTGACAATATTGAGCCGAAAGGTGATCTTTTCGAAGGACAGTCGATTAGACCTTAGAGCTCCCAACTTAGTGCAAAATTTTAACAATCTGTCTCCTGGTTCCGATGGAGATGATGGGGAGCATGGAGTTCATGGTCCAACAGGTGAGTAAAGGACTGCCGGAAATTCAAGGCCATGATCTTCTGCCCTCTTTTTTATGGCTTGTGTGGGTCAGGACCAAATGTCATTTGTGTGGGGGTTGTGAGGTACCAAATCCCCGAGGTTTACTCTCTCGAAATAGGCTAATAGGGATGTGCTGCTGGATGGGATCGCACTTTCACGACTCGATTGACTTTAATGGGGTTACTATTTCAACAGAGTCACTAGAATGGGATCGCAAACTGTCGCGATTTTGGATTATGCAATGCAATTTTTTTCTTTTTTTTTATATTTGTCTTTGATAGTCACAGTCTACGCGAAAATGATTGCTGGCTATGTAAATATTATAACAAGTGGCGGAAATGGAAAGCCGGGGCAAAATGGCGCGAATGGAAGAAAGGCAGCCGACAGCATGCACAAGGTACATGATTCAGTAATTGATATGCGTGATATAGAAAAAGTGAGGGAAAAGTCATTATTTATCGCCTGGAGACGGAGGGAAGGGGGGGTGGGGTAAATGGTAGGAGAGGGTGGAGGATTTCGGGAACGAAGAGGGGTGATAGTGGGACTATAGAAAATCGCCTGCAAATTAACTGCCAATCGGAGTGGGGGTTGGAGGGGGGGAGGGGGATAAGAATAGTAGAGATTGTGGGGGAATCAGGTAAATTTTATCGAGACAAAACCAACCCTTCCGGCCCTCACCCCTCTCCCCCACCCATGCGATGAATAACGATAGGTTCCCTATTTATGATAATTCGTCAGGCTACGAAATTGTTAATTTTGAAGATCACTATTGATGATTTAACGGATATTTACTCTAACAGCGGAGGTTTTGTGTCAAAAAACAATCGGTACTTTTTGTAACTTTTCCATTCAAACAGCAACCGGACAGGACAAACTCTGATTGCAAAGCAGGTAAAACATGGAATGGCTGCACTAGTCACTTTGCGGGGAGACCAGGTATATCAGGCGGAAATGGAGGAAACGGCGGAGATGGTGGGAGATCAGGTAAAGCTGAAACTTATTTTAAATTCCCACCATAACAGAGTAAATTATTTTTTTTTCTTGAGTTTCCAAAGATTAACCTACCTGTCCAATAATTGTCAATAACGTTGCTAGCGTTACCGACAATTTTTGGACAGTTAGGGTTTGTTCCTTTTCCGAGGCCGCAACCACGCGCAGTTGGGAGTAAGTTTCTAAAGAAATTGTGGTGCTGCGTTAGTTTGGGGATTATCAAGATAATTTGGTGTTATCAACTGAGTTGATGGTGGAAATTAGCCACCGCAAAGAATTTCTAAAGCTGACGTTTCGAACGTTCGTCCTTTTCCAGAGGAAATTATGAACAGCTAGTGCTTGAAACGTTAGCTTTAGAAAATCTTTACGGTGGCCAATTTCCATTTTCAACTCAGTCGATACAAAGAGAATAATACATGGCACGCGTGGATATAAAATTTATCTTCGAGTATTCAACTCGATATATAGCTCACGAGTGAGCGCAGCGAACGAGTGAGATGTCGAGTTGAACACGAGAAGAGAAATTCCATATCTACAAGCAACTATGTATTATTTTGTTTATCAAAGAAACACAATAGTCCTTTACTGACAAGAAAAGTCAACTTTATATTAACGAAAAAACATCGGAAAAAAATCGTTAATTGCGTTGGCGCTAAAGCTCGAGATGAGAAAATGCGTTGAAACACTTAAAAAAAAAAGAAATGGGCGTAATTTTTAATACACAAAATTATCACTTATTGACTCGGTCTTCCTACCGACAGCAGAAATCTTTCAAGTAAACGGCCCAAATCGGTGTGTGGAAAATCTTCCAGTTGTAAACTTTCCTTCTTAGCCGCGAGAAATGTCATTACCAAGGCCACTGAAAACGTTACTTTTGATTTTTCTTTCCGTATTTTTTTCACGTGTGTTGTGCGGCTTTTCTTAGGGCTAGAAATCCTTGTATAACACCCTAGTTTATATGGTAAAACCAAATCATCCACATAAAAAATTGGTTCAGCATCCGTATGATGAGATGTGGTGAACACACCGGAGGTTTGGAAAGCACGAAAGATGCGTAAGAATTGGCTGCTCTTAGAGCAATTGATTCTAGCCTCTTAAGTACTCTCCAATCTTCTCAAGTGCTTCATATCTAGATTAACACACAGCTGATACATGAACTAATTGTTCCATTTCATTTTCCATGCAGCAGTGAAATATGTCTTATATGGTAATTCCCCTGCCATGCACACATTTTACTGTGCCCCGTTCACAATGGAAACCTGAGGCACTCGTGCTGTTGACTTTGATTTCTTGTCCACGAACTGACTGTTATAAACAGTAGTAATCACCATTTAAATGCACTGCATTTACTTATGTCCCTCACCTGTTTATTTATTCATTAAACTTAACAGGAAATGGTGGTCATGCAGGCCATCAAACTCTTCATGCCTTGACAGTGAAAGGGAAAATCGAATTAACTTCTTGTCGTGGGACTGGAGGGCAGCCGGCAATAAACGGATTAGGAGGAGCCGGTGAGGACTCAGAAATTCTTCATTGATTAAATTTTGCTCAAGGATACAATTATCTACCAACCTTTTTTTTCTTTCTTTTTTTTTTTTCCTATCACTATGATAGAATAAATATCATTGGTCTGAGGAAACACCACAAATAAACCTATATCCCGATTCTTTGGAAGGCAGTGAAACATTTTGCTACCAATACTTCATCGGATCAGGAAGAAGCTTGGCTTACAACATGAGTTCATTAAGAAAGGTTAAAAACGCTACGACGACGCGAAAACTAAGTTAAGCAAAAACGAAAACCACGAAAAAAGGCAATTAAATATTTGTAATTCTGGCGCCGACAAGTTGTCATTGTAATTGTCGCATGACGTATGCGACTTGGTGTCACTCTTTGTCGATAACTCCAAATAAAAGGGTAACGTAACTAATAGACACCGCCTTCGTTTTTCTATGGCACTATAATTAGCTTTTACAACAATCAATTTTTTAACCAGCGGAATACAATCAAGAGAAGGTATGATCCTCAAAAATTAGCTGCAATCAGTCAGAAGGGTGAGAAATTCAAGTGCATGTTGGGAGAGGGGCAAAGTTTAGAGGATTCTCTATTCCCGCAAAGGAATCTGATGAGGCTGGATTGAAAGTGGATTGATGATCTACTGAAAGATGGGCAGATCAACATGCAGAAGCATCAACAGAGCAACGAACAGTTTGATCAATTAAAAGAAATTGTTGTTTTCAGGTGGTTTAGGTGGACGTGGTGGCCGCGGGATAAACTGTAGGAAGAAGGAGAGATGTGGCGGATTCAAAATATATACCTGTAGCCATTGGTGTGAATCATCCGGACAAACTGGCGAGGCCGCTCGCGGAGCAACTGGAAGAAGCGGAAGCAACGGAAAAGGTTTTTTATTTGTTTATTTTTTTATTCTTTAATTGAATTTAAGACGGTCTTACACTTCCTTAAAATGGATTAAGGTTCCCAGGTTACGGCTCCCTTCCCCTTTCCAGCTTGAAAATCTTGGAAAATCAGAATAAAGTCTCGTACGGAATGTGTTTGCTAGGAACGAGAAGGGAAGGGAGAGAGCACTTTGCTGGTCTTTTTTCAAAGAATTCTGTCAATTATTTTAACACGTGAGAGAAGAGTGGAACGCTGTTTCAAGCTTAAGCGTTCCCCTTCTTCCCAATGTAAACTTATGGTGTTAACTCGGGAAATAAAACTGAAATGAAATCTCTTCAGGTCTTGTGTTCAACATCACTGCAATGGGAAGGGAATGGGAAGGAAGGTTCCTTCCAAACATAGTAATTTGTTGGGCAATGCTAGAACACTAGCTTCTGTCTAAAGTTTATGCTTCAAATGCATATTTAACAACTTTCAATTTTGTTACGATTTTACTTTTAAGAACTCGTAGCAAAAGGCTCCAATGGTCAGGTGGAAAGTTCTTATCTTCAGAAATTTAGTTTGGGTCCCGAGCAATTGAAAAAGTATCCTCTGCAGTTGATAAAGATGATGACAAGATATGGTGAAGAACTTCTCTGGGCCAACGATGTTAAAAAAAGCGACGCTGTGTTCAAGTTTGTTGTAAACTTGTCAAATGGCAATCCCGAAGCGTCTGAATTGAGGAAAGGTTCGGCATTTTCGAATATATTTTCGTTTAATGTACTACATTAAGAGAAACTACAGAAAAGAAATTTGCTGATAACTCTCTTTTCGAAAGACATGATCCCAGCCCGGCAATAAATACTTATATTTCACATATAGATTCCATGTTGCCTTACGTTTGTACAGTAATATAAAACGGATGACCTTAAAATGTGGTAAGAACAAAAAAGTAGGACTGGAGGCACAGCCTGAAAAAGGTGAATAGTTATCAGAAAATCTAAGGAAGTAATCTGCGTAGAAGATGATATGTAAGTCTTCCATTGCGAGTTTGAAGCGGCACACAAGCAGTTATTAATTCCCTTGATTATCATTTGTTTTGAATATTTCTTAGTGGCAAAGAGAAGACTGGCTTTTATGAACAAAGTAGGATATGACAGATTTGGAAAGAACCAGCTGTTCGCACCTATTATCAAATGGGAGGCCCTCAAGAAACAGGTCGAAGTAATCAAAGATCGTGCAGAAACGTTTGAGAAAGCTTACAATGCTATCAAAGAATCGATTAAACGGCAGGATGACGTAAAGACAATAGTAAAAGCACTACCACGGACTACCAGACTTCAAGTTGTAAAGCAAAAAAACAGACTGGAAGAGGCCAGACGAGTAGCAGTGAGCGAAAAGGGAGCATATGTGTTGGTAAGTGTCGAAACCTCCATGTCGAATATATACCGATCTCCTAGCGAGAGGGTACCAACCTGTGAAACTGAGATCTCTAACTGGTCTTCCCTCTTACATTTTTCTAAGATGAATAATGCTATACCTGCGATCTTCACTTGAAACACTCTGAATCAAAATACTTTCGAAAGCGAATGTTGTCAACGTCGGCATTGCGTACGGCGTCCTTTCCTTCTCTAAAACTTTTATTTCAAAGGGAAACAACTAACGAACAGGTATTCTGATCTAACCAGATGCCTCGACTCTACACGTGGGAGTATAGCTTCGAAATAAGGTGGAGCTTAGTTCTTTAGCCTTTTGTTGGAAAATCAAAGGCCTTACGGAAAACGCGCTGGTCGGGCGGCGAGGTCTGGGTTCAAGACAAAGCTGGTCAATGTTGATGAAAACATTTCATTTTAAAAGTACTTCTCTCCACCAAATAGCACCAGTGAAGTATTAGCGATGATGAAGGGTAACCTGCAATGACGTAGCATCCAGTTCATTGGGCGTGGCATTACCCCTAGTTGCTTCATGCCTCGCAGTCCCGGATAAACTCCTGCTAACCTACTTGAACTTCCTTGGTTTACTTCAATCTTTTACAAATTAATAAATAAAGGGGTTAAGTTTCAAAAGAAACTGTGGCGCTGTGTCGGTGGGACAGTATAACAGGATAATTAAGGGTTAATAATGTAAATTGGTCATCGTAAAGAGTTTTAAAGATAAACAATTTAACTCCATTCTCTCTCGTCATGAAATTATACCAGTTTATCTTAACTTTATGAAATGTTATAAGTTGCAGTATTGTGAAGGCTGTTTTCGCGATACTGACAAGAGCGAATACGAAATAAGCTCTTTTTTCGGTTGGGGAAATAATGAATACACAAATAAAAATACGCAAATACGCAGGGGAACCAAGCCGTGGAGATGTGATTGCTTTTCAACGACGTTTTTTCTGAAAAATAACGTAAACAACGATAAGCGACTGAAAATAATACTTAATTTGTATTAGTTTAATTGTTCTTGCACTAATGTTGTAATTTTTTGTCTCCTCTTCGTTGCACTAGGCTATTGGTGAGCTGGAGGCAAGCATGAAGAGTAATCTGCTGGAAGCAAAAGCGATGCTTCCAGACGTGTACGAAAAAGCAAAGTTTAACAGCGACGACTTATTTGTCATTCTTGAGGGAATAACAGGATTCTTTAGTGGTGCAATGGGAAAAGATCCTTTTGCCGCCCTTGGATCAGCCCTCGGGGTTATTGGGCATTTTGCTGGCAAATGTGACCTTGGCAAACTTCAGGGTAATTTAGATAAAGTAGAAAAATGGTTGAAATTTGGAAAGGACTATGCTGCCCTGAAAGACTCAAGTGAATTGGATTTTGACAAAATGGATGTGGCTGCTGTACCTGAAGTAATGCAGGTAAACATGGATATGCTGCATCTCCAATATCTAATGTTTGTGTTTCTTAATAGCTTGTTGTTTGGTTGTTTGTTTGTTTATGTACTGATTTAATCGTTGAGTTTTATTTGCTTTGTCTTTCTTTTTACCCTTTTGCCTGTTTTGTTTTCTGTTTGTCTCTCGGACTCTGTGTGTGTGTGTTTGTCTGTGCGCCTCTTTCTTCGACCCTAGCTTTATTGCTGTTTCCCAAGTTATATCCGGCTCATGACATTTTTTTTTTTACCTTCTTATAAAAAGGCTAATCTGGAAATGAACAAAGAGGGACTTGCAGCGGACCTTGTTTGCCTGCTGGATGAGAGGTCAAAACCCCGAAACTCGGCAAAGTTTCAAGAACAGATCGAACGATTTTTTATCGCTGGTGCAGCAAGAATCGATCTCATAGCAAAGGTCATGGACTTGGATAACGAAATCGGTGGACATAACTTTGACATTCTGAACTTAGAAGAGACAGCAAATGAAATCGAAAGCCTTCGTAGCTCTGGTGGTAAGGATCTTTGTGATTATACATCGCGTCCATGCTACCTCTTTTTATAACAATGATATCTGCGGCTATGATCGCACGCATGGTCGTGCACATGCAGAAGGACATGTTTGGCCATACGTTCTGGCCAAAATGTCCCATCAAGTTAAGCTTGAAGGCCACGTCGCTTCACGCTTTCCCTGTTGATGATCCTCTCTCCTTAAATAAGCAGGAAAACGAATATTAAACGTGACAGGTTCGTTTTCCAGATTCATCCAACTTACAACCGCTGTTTTTAATAATTTCTGTTTAATTAGCAAGATGGTGCATTTGTATTTTACAAAAAGCAAAGGCCTAATAATAGTATTTTTTCTTTTCAGATTCTCCCATCGCTGAAAGCACACAGCAGATGTTTCTGGATGGTTTACTTACTTCCTATCAGCATATAGAAACAGGATTTGCCCAACAATTGTACCAGTTGTACAAAGGTTTCGAGTTTCGCTCTCTATGGGTTGTTCAGGAAAAATTAGCAGAATTCGAACGGCGAGCGGTGTTAGCCGCGCAGGGAACAGGAAATCTCAAAGGCGTTTTAGAGCTTACAAAAGCACTTCAAGAAATCGATAATATCGAAAATAAGGGACAGCGATGCTTCACAAAATTTCGCCACACAGTCACCACGCATAAATGGACATTTGACAGTGCTAAAGACAACGTGGTATGTGGAGTATTTCTTTTATCTTTGTTACAGTAAAAGATTTGTTGTTTTTTTGCAGTTGTTAATGTTGCTGTTGATGCTTTTTGAACTGTTTCCTTGTTTTCCCTTTTGTTTTTTTTTTTACTTTTCCGTTCGGTAGTTCATTCGGTTATTGGTTGTTTAGCCCCTTCGGATTCAGTCAAAACCTCGTTAAAAACAAATTTCATTTCCTTTATTCGACTTTTTAATTTTTAATTTTGTCTTTCTGAGAAAACTTTGCCAGCTCTCTTTTTGGCTTGCTATCTTTTTTCGATTGTTGCTGTGGTAGATATTTATATGCTAGTTCAGTCATTTCTATTGAAGCAATCTCTGCATTAAATGTCATCTTTGAGAGCTATAAAACTGTTTATTTATAGTTTCTTCTTCGTTTATTGTAGATGTTCGACGAACTTCAAAAGGGCACAACGAGGTTTTCATTGAAAATTTCAGATAGCTGCGATCTCTGTTATAACATCCGCCTTTTGAAGGTAATAACTAGGCTCAAATAAATTTTGCTAACATATCTCTGGCCATAATGTCATAATAATAATTATATACAGTTTATAATCTCTTCAGTAACACACATGGCTCTCAAACAATCCTAAATTTAGTTATTAAATGGAGCATAATGAAAAAACATAAGCATAGTTTTGGGCATGATTCTCTCCTTTCAGGGGTGACTCTCAAAAGCTTAATGGCGAATTGTGAGCAAACTGTTCTTATGGTATTTCAAAGTTGTTATTCTCGTAACGACTCTGTTATACTCCATTCAGACCAGGAAAATATAGTTAGTTTAGCCGTGTTAAACTGTATTTATAACTGAATGATAATAGTTTATTTGGTCAGAAACACGCATTTTCAGTGCACTTGATTTGAAGTCGGCAAACATCGGTTTAAGGAACTCTTAATGAAAAACAGTGTAAAGCCGTGATTTAACAAAACAAAATTTTAAAACATGTTGAAGCCTTGGTGCGAATGGAAAATTTGAAAAGATAACGTTCAGTCTAAGTTTTCTAACTGTCTGTAAGAATTAAGTTATGTTCACACTAATCTGTATGATTTTTTGCTTTGTTTTGTTTTCTGTTTTCGTCTTCTCTTTTTCAGATGTACGTTGAGCTAGAAGGTGACAAATCTCAAAGCGGTGATTACCCATCGAGTGTTTATCTTAAATTAAGACATCTCAGTGGCTCTTACTTTAGAGATGGCAACGGGAATGTCAGGGAATTCCGGCAGCCTTTAGGATCATGGCGGACATTAGAATTCGACCGATTTGCAATCACTAATACCAAAGGATGCAACAAAGAAAAAGCAAAAGGAAACAGTGAGTAATGATAAGGCTAACATCACATTGTATTTCACGAAAGCCCTTCTTCCAGGCGTCACGCAACGCTATCATCAAGGCGTGACATCCTACAGAACGGAGATTAGACTCTGACCAAACCAATACGTTCTCGCGCTTCGACGCATTCTTTTGGTAAACGGTGATGAAAACGGAGCGTGGAGCGTTTTGAAAAAACGCCTCTATTATAACCTAGATAAGTCTGTGCATAGTAGAGATCCGGTTTCAAATTATTTGTAAAATATTTTTTCCCCAAATTTTCAGAGGATTCTCTCTTCTGTATGGGCAAGGACGATAACCGCTTTCAACCGATGTGCTGCCATTATCTCAGCGGTTCCCCGTGTGATGACACACTCCTTGGAGCAGAAGAATGCCGGAGTCCATTTGGAACCTACGAAATGACCATGCCGATTGACAGCAAAACTCCCTGTACAGCCAGTGGCTCACGCATAACACACGAAAACTGCAAGGAATTTGATGTAAGCTTAAGTTATTAGATTTGACTGAGAAGTTTTTGGGCATCCGAAAGTAAAGACAATCCCCAAGTGCTTCAGGCTTGCAATTTTCCACAAGCGTTAATTCACCATTGCAGAGAAAAACTAATATTTTAATGTCAAATTTCGCGTTTTACTTGTCTAAATTAAAGTACTTTTCAGCTGTAAAAAAAGGTTCTTCCTTCATATGCATTTTGCCTATTTTTATTGGATTTTTTCCGATCCGTTTTTTAAAAGCAATTAGATGTGACTAAAGCCAAGAGAATATTTTGTCTGATGCTTAGGAAGGAAATTGGAGCAAACAGTGGCATTGTAAAACTTCGTAGATGCCATGTAATTAGGAAACAATCTTTTTTTCAGCCTTATCCTTTATCCTCCATTTTCAAACAAATAATTGTTAATTTTTCCCGGAATGAGATTGGAGTACTGGCTACCTGTCATAGCCACAAGGGTCATAAATTAAAGCCGTGTACCAAATTATGTCAAAATCGAATGTGATCGCGCATGCAGTCCAAACGTTAAACGGATAAAATGAACGAAAAGATAACTGATGCCAAAAATATTTAAGGGTTGCGATTTATCTAACTGTTTCCTCTGTTAAACATCAGCGTTCAGTGTTCACAAAAATGAACGTGTGGATTCAGTATCTGTACTGGACTGGTGAGTACCCAACAGGTCCAGACGACCTAAGATGCAGCAAGTTTCAGGACCCAGACTCCGAGGCTGAGCATGTTCCCATAACCTTTAACCATGAAGCGTCAGGTGATATTGAATCATAAAAAAAAAGAAAATGATTAATAAAAATATAGAGAAAAAAAGACATAATAAACGTAGCATAAGATTGCAATCACCGTGATTTAAATCAGAATTGGAAGTGGCACTTACTAGCTTAAAGCAATGGAACAGGAAAAAAAAATAAAGTAATGTCAAAACAATTGCCTTTGTTTGAAACTTATTGCATATATGCAGGGAGGAAGTTATAAGTAGTTGAGCAGGGCTAATGGTTTGGGCGCTGCATGAGCTTAGGTTACAGAAAGGTTCGGTTCATGTGGTCAACGGACATTCCCAGTAATGCATGACGCACTGAATAGAAGCTAGGGCGTCCATGATGACCATAACAGTTGCAGTAGTAGAGCAACTAATTATTCTTAGATGGGTCTATTTCGGTCGAGAGCAGATAAAGCTGAGCATAGTCTGTTGTACATGAGACACCAACTATCTTCGTACCCTGGAATAAAAAGTAAAGTTGGATTGTAAGACTGATTAAAGGGGAAATACATATTCGACCGGTCATGTTTATTTTCATCACATTTCTTATATTTTTCATCCATTCCTTTCTTTTCTTTTCTTTTTTTTGCTTTATGAAGAATTTTTTTTTTGTTAAGGAGAGAAATAAACTGAAATGAAGAAGCTCGACCTAAGTTTACATTCAACGTACTTGCAGAGTCCAATCATGCAAGCATGTATGATTCAATCTTGGCATATTGCGTCAGTTATATTTAAGGACTCAGGAATTCATCTGCGTTAAGATTAGGCAAAGAAGTTGGACAACCAGCCCTTAACACTTTGTCATCAATGATAGTTTTGAATCTCCTTTTTTTAAATTTACTTACACTTGGTTCACCCAGGATAACAGTTGGGATCAGTAAACTGTTGCTGGTGATTGGGGCTTGCCTTCCAGTCAATTTCTTGGTCTTGTGTTCACACTGGGAGAAGATTCCTGCCTCGTTGGGTCCCTGTGGCCCTAGTGGTCCTTGTGAACTGTTTATACCCTGTGAACCTATTACCCCCTAAATACCCTTTGTTCCATTAAATCCTCGTGGTCCGGCTGGTCCAACAGGTCCTTGCCTATTAAAACCGCGTTGTCCGACGGGGCCTTGGAGCTCACTCACATTCTCTAGCTGAAAGATACACAGATATCTCCATTAAAAGTACTTTTTGATGGTATACATGCATTTTATCACATTTGATAAGCCATTTCAAAAGGGCATTATTGACAGTGTGATCCTCGTTGAGACAACGACGACCACGATAAGAATAATATGAAAAATCGAAAACAAAGATGGGAAAGTCCTCATAACTTCTGATAGAAAATTATGTTCCATATCATCTTGAGGGAACCTTTAGGATTCAGAGCACTCATTTACTGAGAGGTAGTTTATTTTGTCCAGCCCAGTTACGGATTGCCTCATCATGCTTTGCATTTTAATTTGGCTGACTGAGTATTTGCACCATAACCTATAATTTTGCATTGAGGAAGTGATCTTCTACAAGAAAAAAATATAATTGATAGTAATATTATGGTACTATAACCCTCTTAATCTGACCACCGGGAGTCTCGCCATCCCATGATGATCACTTTGAACAGGCAATCATTGTAGTCCTTATAGTGTCCACAGGGAAAAGAGCAAATGTGATCTTGAAGGTTCTTTTTTAACTCGTGAATTGCGCGCATGCGCAAGAGCGAGTTGTAGATATAATGTGGAGAATGGCACTCGCTCGCTCGATTGGTCGATTCCTGTAAACTTTTTTTCGACTTAAGGCTTTTGAGTGCATTTGATAGTTTTTGGTGAGCAATAAACAAACGAAATGGCGACCTTTGTTGCTAAGAATAGTGGTGAGGTGAAAAAGAAGCCAATGATAATCTTAAAAGGGTTTTTTTTTGGTTCGTTTTAGTTTCAACAAGCGGCGCCAGCGACTGGCAGGCATGCAAGGATTCACACTGAAATAACAGATCAACCTTCGCTTTTCAAAAAATTGTAATTTACAATCCTTGAACTTGAAAACAATCCGAAGATTCATTGAAAATATCATTTACTGCGAAGCGCTCGAAGTTTACAGATGTGCAAAAGCTTTTTCTGATATGGCGTGAGACAGGAAAAAATCGATCATTACGTTTCGTATCGTGTGTTTTTCCTGTGTGAAGCAACAAAAGATGCCGGCGACTGACGAAATTACAAGTTAACACGAAAATCAAATAACACCTAAACAAACAATTTTAGCTACCGATTTTCAGTGAATTCTTAAGGAACAATTTTCTTTTAAGTTTCAAGACAATTTGAAGATTCAAAATAAATATTACGTACTAAAATGCGAAAGTTATACACCACAAAATTGATAAATAGGCCTGAAATGAAATTCTATCTTGTTCTTGATTATACGTTGCCTAGCACGTGACTAAAATCTACCCAGGCGGAGATCCAAAATGACGGTGGCAGTCTTGGCTTAGTTATATCACTCAAAACTCGTTCCCGTTTGTCTCATTTAATAAAGAGGGAATCGTTAATGTTTCATTAAGACAGTATTGCCTTGATCTTCTATTATTTACAATGATAGACAGTAAATTTCACTTTCCACCCACATTTACTTCCAACCTTTTCTTTTGAACCAGAAACAAAAATGATATACGTTTAAAACACGACATCACCCACCCTTGTCAAATGTAATAGCATGATCATTTCAATTGTAATGCCTTCTTATCCCAACTTTACTTTGTTTATTTGCTACATTAGCGAACACTGAACTACTGCTCGTACTCTAGATATGACAATCAACCACAAAATTACCTAACATTAAACTACGTGTCAATTCACGAGTTTGCTCACAGAGCACTTTGATTTCTTTTTGCACCAGAAATAGATCGATCGTGGTTTTGCCACGCTTTCTTTAAGGTTCCCTAGAAGTGATCAAAGAATCATAGTTTGATACCTTCAAGGATATAGTGATGTTGATAACGTCAATCAGATTCCTGATGATGGCATCTTCTTGGAAAAGTCTTTCTGTGCTGCTGTTTAGCTTTTGAAAGACAAAAACGACACAAGAATCATGGTTTAACCGAACGGACATGTTTTACTATCGATTGGGTCTTCAGTATTGCACCGGCGGCTGCTTACTTGAATAAAATAATTCTGGTGACTAACCGATTTTGAGGTTCGTCTAGTAAGTCATAGACAGATTTTTTGCGCTCGGATTTATGACCCAGGCACGAGGGTTATAAATCCGAGCGCAAAATATAGAAACGACTGCGATCTTAGTAAAATATTTATTATATCTTTGCGTTCAAATGGAGGGGGAGGATTTCATTTTAAACAAAATTTTTAATTTAGCAGTCCTTACAGTGTGCGTACTTACTGAGTGAAGTTATAAGAGATTCTCAATTGGGTGAACCGTTGTAACTAGCCGTACAACAGCAAAATAATTTCGCCGTTAGTCGTAAAAAATTGCCGGAAAAACTTTAACCTTTAGTCGTAAAAAAAAGTTGACGGTCAATAATTTTTCCTATCTTCAATGCCATTTCGGACTAACTGTTGGCAGTAAAATGGCAAAAAATTTTAACTATAAGCTGTAAAAGCTGTCACGCCATTGAGACCCTCTTGTAACAACATTCATCTTTGATCCACATGTGAATAAGAATCAACTTACATTAGTTCTGACCAGATCAGGGGATTCTGTATATAATATCAAGTACACTAGCTATGGTTGGAAAATGATAACAGTCGTTTTTGCAAAACAAGCGCACATTGAACTTTGCCATTAATTTCCAGGGCCCAGTTGTATAAAGGGTGGATAACGCTATCCAACAGATAAATCGCTATCCAGCGGATAAGTGATAGCAAAACGTATAGCATTATCCACCGGATAGAGATTTATACAGTGGATAGCGTTATCCGATCTTCGAACAACCGGGGCCAGATCATTTCGATTCGACTTAAGCCCGGCACTGGGTCATAGACTTTAAAAATGCAGTAGTTCTTAATTACTTAGAGCTATTTTTTTAATTTCAGTCTTAAGAACGCAGGTAATTAGATTCTTTGAAGAGAAAACTCGACTTTAAGTATAATTCTTCCACTGATCCGACCGCAAAGGAAACGCCGCCATCGGTCTTGTAACCACTACGCCGTGATGTTTGCTAAAATCATTAACGGAATGAACCAGATTTGCATAAAAAAAAAGAGACGATTGGAGTCAATGTCATGCAAGTTTTTTTTATCTTCATTATCATTTTTCTTTGGTTCTCACTGTTCAGATTTATCCAGTAAAGGCAGACCAAGAGGTGGGGCCTGAATTTAGGTCCTATTAGCTCACATTGGCTTGAGTTTTCAACTTTCTGACTTTATTAATTTACTTCTCAGTAAATCAGGTAAATAATTCATGTTTTTTTGATTATGTCAGTAATTAAAGCTGCCATTATCATTTACTAAGAATGTTCTTTCAGATCTCTATGAGTATTGTTCGAACTTTCACACCCAAGACCGGAATCCCACTTTGTACGATCTTAATACATGACAATCTGATATATGCTTTCCATTTCTTTGTTGCTAAGTGCTATGTATTTAACGTTACCTGTATGAACAATATATTTTGCTATTCTCGCAGCTTCTCTTTTTGACAGTGTATTAAAGTTTGTAGTCACGGTATAAATAAGTGAGAAGATGATATAATTTGCACGAACCATTTAATTATTTCTAGATACCTTCATCTATTTTAGTTAAGTTACCTAAATTAGAGCATAGACACTCGCGACCTTAGAGTAGTAGGATCAAAGTTTAAACTAAATCATTTGACTAGAGAGATAAAACCTTAAAAAAAGTGGTCACAAATTTTTGGTATAAGATGCAAATCGTTTCTGCTTGTGCATAGACTAAACTCAAGCACTGGCCCCGGTAATTTGAAGGGTGGATAACGCTATCCACTGAATTAATCTCTTTCTTGTAGACAGCATCGTACGATTTGTGAACTCTTATCCACTGGATAGCAATTTATCCATCTGATAGCGTTAACCTCTCTTTGAACAATTGGACCCTGAAGTTTAAAATGCATAATGTGACTGCTACCATGTATGTCTGCTTTCGAAATTTTTTATGAGGAATTCATCCCCGCTGGAATCTAAATGAACGTTCTCTGAATCTTACCGATTTTCTATATGAAGAGAAACGGGCAAAAATTTCTACGCATGCATTGGCAATACTTTAAGACAGATCGCAAAAACTGACTGGGTTATGAATTTAAATGCAAGCTATCATTATCAAAAAAAAAATGACTGTACAATTAAACGTTCAAACGAGACCATATGTTTTAGTAGCCCGTCTCTAATCACTAGTTTTTACGCAAATACATTTTTTTGATTAAAAAACAAATTTCTATAATGCTATTTAGCTTAACTCCAAACCAGATGAAGAATGCTTCAAATACAGAAAGCACTTGAAATTTCGACAATCACAGGAATGAGACATGCAGCTCATACGGCTTTTAGGGAAGAAAATAATGTGTTAACCTTGGTTTACAGGACAGCTACAACCCTTCAATACTCCTCCAACGAATATCATAAGGATCATCACAAATATTACGAAAGACACCAAGCACACAAGAGTCAAGAGGGTCAACTGTGACCGGTTTGATCGCACAGGAGGTTTCCTCTTTCCTTGTGCTTTACTCTCATATTGTGCCTGGCGAGAATTCCTCGTTTCAGTAGGAGCAGTGACTTCCGCGCGGTACGGCAATGGACGCGAAAAATTCGAAGGCGATGGTGGAATGCTGTTTTCGTAAATCCAATCGTCGAAAGTTGGGTTAACAAACATCTGTCCTTCATGAACATCCATCGCAAACCTGTTTTTGTTTCAAGTTTCAGTTACAATGTCGGCTGATGTGGTTTTCCTTAAGAACTATTCCTTTTTTTGTATATGACCCCACGTGTACTTTACTTGTTTGTGTAATCTCATTAATAAGAAAAAATTCCTTTGTGATGCTTTGCATGCCATTTCGTGTTGATCCTAGTTAAGCTCACTAATACCTGTGCGCCTCCATAAATGTAGGTCAAAAGTATTGATTTGGCTCGTTTTTATAAGATTTTGTGGATTAACTTGTTAACTTAATGCACTCATAAACATTTTTTACGGCGGCAATTGCTTATCAAACACATTAAGGTCAAACGCAGAAATGAGAAAAGGAAGCTTAAGATTTAAAACGTGACAGCAAAAAGTTCATCGTAAACCAATGTCGAAATAGGTAGCTGTTTTCCGACAGGCCTTACAAACTTTAATTAACCAAAAGAGCGGCTTTTGTACGGTCTTTACTCTGTTGAAATCATTGGAACATTTAGCTTTCCTGATTATTGATGACCGGTACACACAGCTGAATTCGAGCGATGGAAATTTTTCGTCTCGCACAAAAATATTTCGAAGCTATTTAACAGAAAATGAAAAGTCTAAAAGCCTTAATACCCAATTATAATAGTTCATTTCTTTATTTAGCTGCCAGACGAGTACAGAAGTAAAAGCTAGAAACTGCAATGTGAATTATATTTAGTCAAGCAACTGCTGGATCGGTTCAACTTAAAAAACAATAGGTGCAAAACCTCTTATACTCATACTGATCTGAGTGGTTCTCATCATCACGACCAATAAAGCCTTCGACCCCATCCCATGTTACTCCCAGGAGTGACCAAACGATAAAATTCGAATACAGCCTCTTAAATTTTTTATTGACATGCTATAGACAAAAAGAAGAGTATTCAACAATTGAATGTCGTGGATATTGTTAGATTGTTCGCCAAGTTTCTTTAATTACATAATAAGATAACTACAAAGTTTGTAGGACAGTGCGAAGAATCGATGTTTAGACTTTGGGAATGAGAGTATGGTTTTGATGTTTTAAGGAAAATTATTCGCCTCTCTGACATTTTTTCATCTCCACCACTTTTTAATTTATCATAATGGAGAGACCGGATCACCATTTAAAGGCGTGTATTCATCACTGTATATCAATTCTTGAGCTATACAACAGATCATTTTGTACTCAACGTTTTCATAAGTTTTCAAACAACAGAAACATAGAGCACATTTTATGATGGTTGTCGGACTGAGTGGCGAGACTTATTCGGTATATTGTAACAAGAGGGATTTAAAAAAATTCACAGCTAAAGTCAAGTCTGGGAAAGTAAATTCGTTTGAATGCTCTCACTGTATGATTATATTTACAAAACGTTTCTCTTTCTAAGAGAGGAGAACAGCAGGTGAAAACGCAACTGCATCTTTAATTTCAAAAAATGACTAAGAAAATCAGTTACATTAAGTACTGACATTTTGAGTTTTTTTTTGCTTATTAGTTCGTATCGCTTGATCCCATCTTGAAGTTCAATGCATTTTCTTCTTCACACATGGCAATAGATGGCGTGTCACTTTTATGTTGTTAAGGGACACAACCAATAATGCATAAAGCATTGAATACTTTTGATTGTCCCTGCACTTCCCTGGTTTCCATAGCACTCACAGCGGTACACTTGCTTGTTTGTAGATGGAGCAATCTCAGCTTCCAAGATATACAATTGGGCGAAGTCTGTTGAGCATGTGACACCAACTATTCTTTTATCCTGTATAATGGTTGGAAAAGGGAGATCAAATATCATATCTAAATGATGTCATGCTGGTATGCTGTTGAGCGTACTTCGTACAACACACTTCTCTTCATTTTCATTTGAGGAATGGCTGCGTGGAACAGAACTGCTCGGATAGGCGAGCCTTCCTCTATGAATATGACGTTTTCTTGCTCAAAAAGCACTATTGTTTGATATAATTCAGTTTTTGCTAGCAAAACGATTGAAATTTTGCATATATCAGCAAATATGTCTAACCGCAATTTTCTGAACCCTAACAGTGCGTATCTGTAGCTCTTCCTGTTTTTTTTTCAGTAATATTGGATTTTATCATCGAATTAAATTCATTATCACGCTTTTGAGTTTGCGTAATGAGATTTTTTATCTATTTTTTTTCACGCTGTCGAGTTTATAGGGTCTCGTATTTCATGTTACTTACAGTTGGTTCAGTTAGGATGACTTTGGTTGCAGCTGGAAGAGTGTTGCCTCGGAAAGCTGTCTGGGATCCTATGTCCGTGCTGGTCATGAACTCACATTGAGAAAAATCTCCTGCTCCAGCGGGTCCTGGGGGCCCTGTGGCTCCTTGGAGTCCATCTGATCCCGGTGACCCTTGTGATCCGTTAAAACCCTGTGGACCTATCACCCCCTGGAGACCCTGTGTGCCATTGACTCCCTGAGGTCCGGCTGGTCCAACCAATCCTTGAGAGCCGTTAAAACCACGTGGTCCAACGGGGCCCTGGAGCTTACTCACATTCTCTACCTGGAAGAAACATAAGAATTTAATTCCATAATTTAACAAACATGCTAAAATAAACACATAAGCCAGAAAAGAAAAAAAAAGAAGAAAACAAAACACCAAAAAAAAATTAATAATTAAATAAAAAAATTAGAAAGTAAAAAAAAAAGGTAAAAAAATATATATATTTTGGTAACTTCTAGTACCTTCAAAGACAATGTTGTGTTGATGTCATTAACAAGGGATATTATGCTGACGTCTTCTTGATCAAGTCTTTCGGTGGTGCTGTTGAGCTGTTGAACATAACTATTCAGATCGATTACAAGTGCAATGAGAATGCAACCCTCCAAATTGCAATGCTATGGTGTGGGATTTTAGGGCGTTTTTAAGTACGTTTTAAGTGCACGGTATCATACAAGTTTGGTCTGGACTTTGATTCAGTTGTCGTACATGTTCCGATTCAACAAATATAGCCGGCGGTGGTTGATTGCTGTATGTACGATTCATGAACTAGGACTAAAATCTAAACGATATTTACCTTTTCTTAGGGTTAGTCTCTAACATGAAGAACTGACCAAGTCGTGCTTCGTTTTAGTTGTGTCATTATAGTTCGTTCGAGTACTCGAAACGACCTAAAGGTTACACGAAACTCAAAGGATTTTGAATTACTTTCGACGACCACTCAAAAACCGTTTTCATAAGAATTAATATTTTTCACCAACGGTAGTGTAAGTGACTAAAGGTCAGCTTATGAAAAATATTGATTTCTTTATATTTACAAATTGCAAAAGATATCATTTTTTCTCACCCTTAGGTCTGTACTTTCAATTCGGGAAGTTAATTTGTCCTTCGTTGAGTTCACCGTTTTCTCCAAGTTACTGAGCCCGTCATTCACCTGCGGTAAAAACAAAATTTAGCATGATCAGAGTTAAAGGGCGATTTACATTTTTACAGCAATTCAGGTTTTTTTTGCCACCATTCTGATGTGAAATATTTTCAAGCTAAGACTTTTGACGTCCATTTATTTAGGTGAACATTTTAATAACTTCCATGCCATGTAAAATTAATGATTTAATTTACTTAGTTTTGATTGCACATACAGCCATGCTTTAGGTTTCTGAACGACGCTTTGCTATCATCTGAAGCCTCTTAATGCTTTTTTACATAGAGAATCGATTTTAGGAATGGCCTTAGCATTCTGAAATTGAAATTGGTTCTTTGGAAAGATCACTCAATTATAAAAAGACTTGTTCAGATCACAAAATGTGTTGTTGAATCCTTCGCCACAGCCTTTCTTTCATTTCCTTGAAATGAAGTTAACAAGGAAGTATGAGAAACCCGTGACAACTTTGGAACCCTTTTTTTTTCGTTAGTCAGCTCATGTTATCCTCGCTGTCTTGTCTGATTAATAACTGAAAATCAATATATTTTGCCACCATACAAGCAGCTGCCACCATTTCTATCACGAGTGCTTTTCCCGATCCCCTCGGTGATTTCCTTGTAATCATACTTCTTGTCAATTTTATAATAGAATTTTCAAAATCACTATCCGCTATCATCTCAAACGTCAACAAAATGCGCTCAAACAGATTATAAAAGTAAAACGGCTCATCTGCAAACTTACCAATGTAACAGAATTTTCAGTGTGCATCTTGAAATTGTTGAAGCTTTCCTTTGTTTCGTTAGACTGCGAATGGACTGCAGTGATGGATTGGCTAAGGCTATTGACCTAATGATAATAATAAATCCAAACATGATAAGTATTGAAAAATCTTGCACCTGAAAGAAATTCTGCAGATCATTAAATGTCTGGGGTGCTAAAAGGCATTCAACACACAATTCTTACTCCTGTTAAAGTATAAAAAGACAAAGAAGAATTTTAAAGTCCCATTTTTTCATTTATGTACTGTTAAGCTTCATGCTGTCTTCCTATATTGAAATTTGAAAAGTTTTCTTATGCATTTTGGCTGCTATCTTAACAATAAATAGCACACAAACCGTTTGACACCTAAGACTGTGTTTTGTTGCTCTCAAATCTATCTGTTTGCTCTTATTATGTAAAGGTCATAAAAATCTCGTGCTAGAAGCGTCAGCGAATCAAAAAAAATAAAAAAAAAAATTATCTTTCCTTGGTACATAGCACTATTTTACGTCCACGCTATTGAGGTCCTATATATTTATCAAGTTTATCAGTAAACATAAGTTAAGCGACTCTCTGATATTTTTGCTCTGTGCATATCTTTCTAAGTTGCATACCTGGCCTGCAAAACTTGTATTAAGCTCTTCAATTTTGTTTTGTAAGTTGCCAGTGGAAGATTTTAGATCTTCATCGGTAGAGTTCAAACGTGCTTCCATGGACAAAAGGTGACCTTGAAACTAAAGAGAACATTCTCTAAGTAATTTTAGTCATAGCAGTTTTATCATTACTGATCGATAGGTCCCATACTTCCCAAGGAGAAAAATCGAAAATAATGACAGTACCGTTACAAATTGTGTCATATAACCTCAAATGCTATTATCTTAGAATTCCTTTGAATGAAAAATCCTGAAACTATTGTTAGAAAAACCTCGATTGGCCCAAAGATTGGGGGATGTTCTAAAACTTTTTGACCAATCCTTCCCACAACCAGCGGTGGTGAATGTATGTCCAAGAGAAGAAGAAATCAGAACCAAAGAAATTCTCTTTAATACTTCCAGTCAACGACCATGGCAATCAATTATTAGGCATGTCAAGTTAATTTGCATCTATACAGATGTTTCAAGGTTGCTTGTAGAACTACTTCTGTAAAAACGGCGATGAATTTAACCTTAACTGGTACCTCTTGTGTACTTTTGATCTGTGTATCATTCAGCCTATCTAGGTTACTTTGGGTTGTGGCCAGGATCGATGATAGCTGATTTGTCGCTGAGTCCAAATTATCTGTCTGTGAGATAAAAGCAAGGATTGAAACAAAAGAAAAATTTTGTTTGTCTTATTTGTTTATCCATAAATTTAATTTTTACAATTCAGGAATTATTTATATATTTGATATTTGGAATCTTCGCTGCTCTGTTTACATTTTTTTAAATTTTCAAAATACAGCTAAAGGAGTCTTCAAATGGTGAGATCGTGGTCCTGTTGTAACAAGTTGATGTGATATTTGTGTATCACCCTTATGCACCAAAATAAACAATATACATAAATACCAAGTAAAAATATTGCCACTTACCCTCGTGGTCAAAGTTGAGTTTTGAGCTGTCAAAGATTTCTGCAACTCAATGTCTGCATCTTCTAGATAAGTTTTTGTTGTGTTAAGATCTGTTTTCAATACCTGGAAATCTGTTGTTATCTGTGAAGAAAAAACGTTACCTGAGTAATATATTAGAGTAAATGATTTCAAAGAAGCGATCTTACCGCGAAACGCTTAGCATTTGACGATAATGTTAAAATTAGAAGGCTTGAAAGCTAGGGAAGGGGAGTTCTTACTATTCAAAACTAAAGAGTTTTTTGTCGTTGACTTTTTCATGATGAGATAGGATAAAAAACATTCTTGGTCCTCCATGTGCTATGGAACCCTAGACCTTTTCAGAGCCGCAGTGAGATCCTCTTCCAGTGAATTACAAAAAAACCTATTGGTGAGTTATGCCGTACCAGTTCGTATGAGAGACACTTCCTGCACGCCGCTAGGATAAGCAATGACAAAAGCGTCATATTAGAAAATATTATGATAAATACCTTCAAAATAAGGGTCGTGTTAAGAGCCCCTAGTTCATTTCTTACGTCGTGGTTAGAGGTTATTAGGTGGTTTCGTGTCTTGTTAAGATCATCGTTCACTGAATCTACCTGAAAAGAAAATGAATGGATAATGGAGATAAGTGCACATCTGTTGCATTGTTAACAATATTCCAGTATCCAAGTGCAGAAATGATCCTCGTAAGCGAGCTACAATTCAAGCAAGCGCTGAAAAGAAGACTCAAAAATCAAGACTTCAACGGGATTCGAAATGCGCCTCTCAGATATTAGTTAGGTGCCACTAAAATTTGATTCACTTACGTGTGGTATACTCACTCTGACAAAATCTAAAACTTTCCCAAGAAATAGAGAAGGGAAATTTCTAAATTAAGATGGTAGTTACTCTATCCGGGGATATGTAGCGTCTTCTTTGCTTCTAATATCATTCCATTCTAGAAGACACTGCTTCATATATACCTCCGTGTATTACATAAATCAATCCAGAACAACTGACAGAGACATTTGAGCATATAGACTCAGAGGTTTGCAGTATAAACGAGGCCACTTTTTAAAATTCGAATTTTTCTTTTTTTTATCATTCTTACTTTTCTTTTTTTTATCATTCTTACTTTTGACACTGGGGACGGAATATGCTGGGAGGGGGAAAAGTATGAAGTATTTACCTTGTCACTCAGAGTTCTGCTTGAATTTTCAATGTTATTTTGCAATCTCTGCTCCGCATCACGCATCTGTAAAATCGTACACAAGAACGATATAGTAAGCAATGAGTATTTTAAGATTTACTTAGAATTTTAAGTATCCCCAGTCGTTAAATGTTATTTTATCGCTGCATCAGTACGACGGAAATTCGACAAAAGTTCTCGCGTGAAGTGAGATGTAAATTTGTCTATAACATGTCGGATATAAACTAGGTTTAAGTAATTAGGAGCTTATTTCAAGCGGTCCTTTCAGCAAGTAGAGTACTCATACGAGAATCGCAGTCGAGGGCATAATGTTGTCTAGTTCGCATTTTGAGACGAAGGCAACAAACCTTTGTGGTTAGATTTTCTCTTGTTTCCGTTAAGGAAGAAGATAGTTCTTTGTCGCTCATCTGAAGCTGAATTTCTGTCATGTTGAGCTATAATTGCAGAAATAGGAAAGAATAAACAATATTATGCATTGTTACAGTTTAAAGGAAAGCCTTGTCAACTTTGGCCATGTGTAGGTAGGTGCTAAACAAACAGGAACATACAAAAATGGAAGAGCTAAGTCTCTTTAAGTTGTTTAACTTGTGCCATTGCAGATCGTCATTAATTATTGTCAGCGAGTAGTGCTTCACATTACTGAGCCACCACTATCAGACCTGTTGGACAAAACACCAACATAGTATCTCAAACAATTTCCACTTAAGTCTCTTAGGCCTAGTTCAAACGTCGATCTTTACATGTACCGAATCTAATTGCAATTTGGGTCGACTCGAATAATTAAGAGCGGCAGTTGATTCAAACGTCGATCCGAATTTAGTCGATCCTAATTGCAAAACTGAACATAACTCCATTGTAGTCAGCGGTTAATGCCTACCGAAATGGCGGGAAAAAATGCGGGAAGCACAACTTGTGGAAATGAAGAGCTTGTTTTTCTTGCAAATGCGATTAAGGAGGGTAGAAAAAGGCGACTCAAGATGCAGTTAGCATTAAACAACCTTGCTGCCAGGAGAAGATGAGTTTTGAATTTGGCTTGCCAACCCACATCTTCGTCGTTTTCAAACACCGAACATGGCATACAAAAGTACTCCTTACACGTAAGACAGGTATATTTTGTAGTTTTAAAACAAGAGGAGCACGAGCCTTCCTCCTTTCCCGCCATATTTTTTGAATGGTTCGAAGGCTTTCGCGCATGGCACGTAAGCGAACTTTCTTGAATTGTGGGTAAAACATAATTATTTTAACGTATGTATAATGTATGCATTAAGTTCGGTACATGTAAAGTACGACGTATGAATCAATGCCGATCTTTTACCGTTCTATCCGACTAGCCGAGTGGGATAGAACGGCACTGTCGATCCGAATACAAATCTGCCGATCCTAATTGATTCAAACGTCGATCTTTACATGTACTTAATAGAAACGTTAGGTTCGGTACATGTAAAGATCGACGTTTGAACTAGGCCTTAGATCCTAAACAAAAGATCAAATCCGGCTCTATAATTACCTTATGAAAAATACGGGAAGTCGTGTTCTCAAGAAGAGCGTGGATCATGTTATCTTTTTCCTGGAGGTTTACTTCGGTGATGTTAAGCTAACGTGTAAACAAGGGAAATAGTAAATTTTCGGTGATATTTCTCGAGTATTCCCAAATGAAATAAAACTTTTCATGAAAAAATAAGAAGAGTGGAAGAGAGATATTAAAGCACTGCAGGCATAACCATATCTTACCTTCATTGTTAAATTGAACAACTTTTCATCAAGATCTCGAAGCGAAGAATGAACGACTCTAAGCTCATTCGTTTTGTTTTCCTGCAAATCATTGGATACTTGTAAATTTCTTTATTCCATGTGAAAGAATGAGACTATAACACCTTTCAAAGGAATATGTTTCGCAACTAAGAGCAAAACCAGAAAGTCAACAAGAATACCCTACTCCTTACCAGACCCTGTTGAAGTTTTGTGACATTCCTCTCAAGGGCTGTTATCCTTGTTAATATATCTTTTTGTGTACCAGTGGAGAGACTGCCAGAAGAAGCTTTAAGATTAAGATAAAAAAGCAAGTGGGAGATTAGCACCATTAACTTGGATGAGTTTACATCAGCTCAATGTCTATCATCATAAGTGGACATTAAAATTTCCATCTTCATCAATCTGACTTTCCTTTCTCGTTGCAAAACAAACAAACAAACAAAATTTTGCCAAACGATTTGCAAGAACGAATTTCAATCATATTGGAGACCCCTAGGGTCTATTGTTTGTATTTTTCTAGCGAAAAAGAAAGTAGAAATCAAAGGAAAATATGCAGCAAATTTGTTCATGTTCTGTTATTTTTTCCGGTTGCTTGAGAAACTAGGCTCTTTTTCGCGCTCGTAAAAAGTTCTTAGCTGGCATTTTCAAGTCATTATTTGTCAAATCTAGAAATATCTCGCAATATGCGCCATGTTCTACAAAGCGTGTAAAATAACATTTGTATGACGTCAGTGGCGCGTCAGCGCCCTGATCGAACATTAATGCATCACAGTAGCGATCACAGAGCCTATAGTGTTCCATTGGTTAGAGTAATAACATCTAAGGTCTAATTGATGCTTTAATTTATTGATTGTCAAACAGCGAGTAAAAGACGAAATAGAATAACTTTAAAATGAACGGAAATTAATTTCGCGAATAATTCGCCAGAAGAACGGATGTACTAAAGGAAAACTTTTCCGAAACAATAGCCATCGCAACATAAAAACATATCAATATTGCGGTTGCCACTCTTGACGTATTGTTTACTACTTGAATGTTAATTGAAGTATATTCTCTTTTTGGAATCCAGCAGGGAACATCTTTTAGCTGGAAAATAAGTAGCTTTTTATCTATTTGCCTGGCGAGAGCGACAAACTTGCCGATAGGAGCACAGTGTGATGATAAATTGCAAATGTGTTTTCTAGAATGATGACACTATAGGATATTATTAAGAAGAGAAATTTTCATGATCCGTTGTCAAATTATTCGCATGATTAGCTTAACCGCAATCAAGAAAACAATTTTCTTTACATAACAGTAAATTTGAATGATGAATAAATACGATATCCCTTAAAAGATGATAACGTTCATAAGTTTTATTTTCAGTTTCTATGGATTAAAATTTGCTTGAAAAAAAACCGAACGTTAAATGGTATTTCTTGATTAAAAAAAAGCTTAATATGCAATTATAAACATCCCCTGTCAACCAAAATATGAAGACATGTGGGTATTAAAAATATTGACAAATGTTTAAAATGTAGTGATGCAAGTGTGGAAACATTTTTGCTTTGAACAAAAGTTGTGATATGAAAAATCGTCGAATTTGCTTTTAATCTCTAGTTGAGCGTTAAAATATTAATCAAAATATAACCACATGGTCTAACTAATCCGGTATTCAACGGTTCAGGGGCTTATAGATCAAGAAGAAGAGTGCATGCAGGACAAGCACAGACAAGAACTGAACTCAAATAAACTGCGCGACCGGTCTGGGCATGCATACATGAACACCTGAACAAATAAGAGCTGCATCGGTACCTACAGGACGCAGCATGACGAGCCTTTGAATTTGTTCACCCTCACAAAGTCGAGCTTTATCCACATACTTACTATCGCCAGTTGAGCAACCACATCTTTCTCCCATTTTCCCGAACCACATCAGAAGAATCAGCACTAATGCAGCGATCGCCAAGAAGCACATAATGAACGCGAAAATCATCACCGCTGATCGACTGCCTTCTCCACGAGATTTCGCCCTGACCGTACTTTGGTAATCGTTTGGTTTCCACGGGTCGTCTTTAGTTTCTCTTGGACCAATTTCCTCTTCTACGCGATACGTGATTTGTCTTTTCATTGGGCTTTGTAAAGCGTGAGGATATTTTTCATTCTCGTAAACCCAGTCTTCAAAGCTTGGGTTTACAACAATACTCCCGCAGTCAGCTTGCATCGCGGTAGGCTTTTAACTTTGAGGCTCCGTGGTGTTTTTTTCGTTAAAAAGGCATGTGCTGAGTGTGCTCTCAGAAATTTGCTTTACATGACACGTTTTACGCTTGAAGAGTTCTTTGAAACAATATTCATACTATTCCAACCGCGTATTACGTAACGCCGGCAGCTGTAATTAACGCTCGATCACCGCTTTGCAATTTTTTACCAATCGTTTAAAATCCTTTTTCTTTTCGGAGAAATTGCCCTGTATCTAGGTAAATGTCTTAATAGGTAAATACAGTATCATGTTGAATATCAATATCTCAATTAAAATAGCTGAAGTCAGTTAGAAGATTTCACTGACGAGGATTAGGGGTCACCATCTCATGTTTTAAGTGGAAAGAATTTGTATAATATGGGTTATCGGTTATGACGCGCGGCAAGGTGCGTGACAAATAAGATCTATGGGAACAAATCTCGGCTTTTCTCAAGGAAAGAACACTTTTTGAACATTTATTGAGCAAATTTTCATCATGAGAAAAACTGTAAACTCTCTGGAAAAATATCTTCAAAAGGCACGAAATTTTGACTGATCAAGGGACAATTTTTTAATGTTTGTCGGAAGTCTCTCGAAAACGCTAGCCTTAATACAAAAGCTTTTAGATGCGACGTCCATTTGTCTTCTCAAGGCTTTCTCTTTCTTATCCATTTGTCTCTTCAAGGCTGTTTCATTCTCATCCATTTGTCTCTTCAAGGCTGATTATTTCTTATCCATTTGTCTCCTCGAAGCTGTTTCATTCTCATACACCTCTCTCTTCAAGTCTTTTTATTTCTCATCCATTTGTACCCTCAAGGCTTTTTCTTTCTCATCCATTTGTCTCTTCAAGTCTTTTTCTTTCTCTTCCATTTGTCTCTTCGAGGCTTTTTCTTTCTCATCCATTTGTCTTTCCAAGGCATGTTGTTTCCCATTCATCTGCAGTATTTCTGCTTCATTAGCATCTCCGTTCGCTTTGCCTTACTCTTGAAAAGTAGCAATTTGGTTCTGAAGGGGGTCTCCCTTCTCCCGAAGCTTGCGTATTTCCTGTAGTAAAGTGTAATTTTGAATCTGTTTGATACATTTCTGCATTTTTATACTGATATTTATTGGACCAACATCAAAGTTGTTCTAGTTTTCGTGATCGAAGAGTCGCTTTTCGACGAGGAAATATCAAGTGTTTTGTTACCTATTTCCATGTGGGGCATGAAAGTAATTGGGTCGCTGCTTTTATCAAGAGTTTTGATCTCCAAGATCAGTGCAGAAACAAAGATATTGATCATCGACAAACGTCACACTTTGAGAAAAGATTCATAATAACTGAGAAAGAAAAAGTACCATAAACTAAAAACTACATGTTCAATCTTGCAGCCTCTTAATTCCCAAGTTTAGCCTGTAGACCACACATTGATCAATTAAATCTAACCAATTTTACATGGAAAAAATGCGAAATAAGCACTCAGCACGGCCAATAAAGAAATGGCATAATCACGAAATTCAAAATGAAGGCTAATAATGGGATGATACTAGACTTAAGTCACAAGAGTAATATTTGAAAAAACCTTGATTCACGATAAATAAAAACGCTTCATAACCCTCCTTTTCCTGATCTGCGAGTTGTCTCTTAAGATTATCATTTGATTCCATATCAATGCCCTCTGCTCTGTAACGTTCTTACTCACATCGACAAGTAGGTGGATATGTTCCTCATGAAACTGGAGGAGGTGATCGTCCAAGTTTTCTCCTGGAAGCTACAGTATGGTATTCAATCTCTATCACTCTTTGCTCGAGTTCAATTCACCGAAGTGGAAGTTAATTAATAATAGTACGAAATCAGTGACTGAGCAATGAGCAAAAGAAGTAAATATCCACCACTTCACACCGAGGTAAATGGTTTTTTTAGTATTCTTGAAATGAAACAACCCTTTTATAGCTGCAAAACATCGTTGGAAATTACTCATGTCATCTTCAGTTGCAAATATTTGTATTCTAATTTTAATTTAACTTTAGAAATACGTCACCAGATTAAAGTAAAGGATTGCAATTTACGAAATGGTAAACTTTTTTAATAAATATAACTATAGCACAGGACGGCATTAGTGGTGTTTTGACATAAACCAGGAAAAACGAAAACACTGTACAAATACAAAAATAAGTAAAATATCAATTTAAATTATATAATGAACTAAGAATAAACTAAAAGAAAGAGATAACCCTCACTGTTGGTTTAGAGTCTGCTTCTCCAAATTAATATACATAGTCCCTCTTATCTTTATTTTAAAAAATGTGGTGGCAAAATCCAAAATTCTGCTCAGCAGGAGTCATGAGAAACTTTGGATGATTGCAATTCAGCTTTTAGGCTGTACACTTCACGTGTGGTGTCAGTCGACTTTTGATGTAAGCAAACCAGCATTGTGAAAATACCATTCCTCACCTTGCCAATGCATTGAGGCAGTGCACTCCACATAATCTCTTTCTGCATCACTGAAGGATAACAACCTCAACTCATCTTTGCTAGAGATGTTGGGATGGCCTTGCAACAATCTCTTGTATTTTGTTATTCATGATATCAGTTTTAGCCTTATTAAAAGGTTCATTGTCCAGTTCCGAGTGAGCTTCGGAAGTGTAGTGAAGTTTTTGATTAGGGGCAAGATAGCTACAGGAGCATCAGTTGTAAACTCGCACATCTTTTGGTGAATTGACGGTGATAGTCGTCATCTTTTGGATTCCTGCCTTCAGGAGCGCGAACGTCTCGGTCAATACACTGGGGATAAGAGTGTAAGGTTTTTTTTGTTTTTTGTTTTTTTTTTTTTTTTTTTTTTTTTGTGAGGGGGTTTTTTCATTTTTTTTCCAGGTCCTTCACTAAGCGCGATTTAGTATTTTAATATTTTTTAACTCAGATATAATTAAGTTTGCCATGTTGCCTAACCTATCTTGATACCTAATTTTTCAGAGTGGCCAGTGAGAGCATCCTAGTTGGTAATGCACATAATCGTTCAAGATCGCTTTATTTCTCTTCCCAATCATGTGAAAATTGTGTCAATCACAAATATTTTTCCAAAATAATCAATTTATCTACGGCTCCTGCCTAAGAAAATTCTTGTTAGCTTTAATTTTGGGAGAGTCCAGACGTACTGGTTGGTTCATATACCTCCATTTGACACTCCGGATATTGCTCTTGGCAGAAATCACACCGTGCCTCTCAATGGGCACTGTTTGGCACTATGTGTATCAAGATCTTCCCGTGCCATGGTAAATTTACAGTCAGGGCATGGAATCCCTCTAAAAGGACAAACCCCCAAATGCAGCTGTGAAGGACAAAAAAAAAAGACAAAAACGCATTCAATGAATTAAATGCCACTACAACTAAGTCAATTAAGATCTCCTAAACATAGAAAAGAAGAAAAAATCTTCAAACCTCCTTCAGTCTTAGTTCATCAGCTCATTCGCAGTCTTCACCACCAAACCTTACGGCCAGTGATAAGATCTCCCTCTCCTTCTCTTTATCTGGGAAAACCTCCCATGATGATACAAATTTGAAAAATAACACACATGAAGATTTGCCTTCGATGCAGCTATATCTTTTCACGATCTGTATTTTTATTTCTCATGGCTGCTCCATCATTTAGCGTAAGAATTTCCCTTCATTATCCATCTATCCAAAAGTGTAAAGCTGTTACCAGATAATTACTAGCATGGTCTGATGGACAATAGCACTTCTGAACCGTATATGGGACTTACAGAAAACGACTTCAAGACAAGATACAGAAACCACACTGCACACTCTATTTCATGGCGTATCCTTTCATCAAGCCCACTCTACAATAGTGCAAGTAAAAGATGCAACCTCTGCGTTAAAGACAAATTCCTGGTCATCTGAATTGCCATCACTTAACGAACGTAATGAACTCGTGTCTTCATGCCGTCACAGAAACAAAGTGTTGCTGCGTAAGAGCTGAACAAACCATCTAAATTTGCCACCACATTTATTATGCAAATTTTATAGTATCTCAACGATGGTTGAAAATATCCTTGCCTTTAAAATCCCATAAAGAGTGATTTAATCATTCTGACCATTCTGACCTTCAACTTCTTTCCTGTAAAAATGTTTACCCGATTTAAACGAAAAAAACACTGAGTAGGAACTACAGCTTACTTGTTTCTCTTATTCAATTTTAGCAAATCAGTTTGAATTTACGCTCATGGTCCTTACAATTGCCCCTTTAGTCGCAATATGCTCACAAGCTAACATTGATTTTACCATGGAAAGCCAAACGAGTCAAGTGAAACTATTGTAATGAAGCGAAAAAGAAGCTGAGCGATCGAAGCGAAGCAAAGCGATAAAAACCAATGGTGACTTAAATACATAGAAATAAATCTGAACTCAACTTCAACAAAAGCAAACGAAAGCTGAACTGACGCAAAACTAAGCGGGTACTGAAGAAAATATTTCCAGGGCGTTAATTCCCCTTCGTGTTTTAAAGAAACATTTTTTTTACAAGCAAAACTATTTGAATCTTTTCCAACATTTCAATAAAACCACGTTGCGATTCGCAGTTTCTCGGTTCAGAAGTATATTTTTTTTTATGATTCTCAGGTACCTTTAAGCTAATTTGGTAAAGTGCTTGAAAACAACCCAACTCGTCTGGCGGTAAACAAAAAATGCTTGGAACGAATTGATCTGGAAACCCATGTATGGAATTTCAACCGGCAGAACTTCTCGAAATCGTTGCCCCTCGCGGAAAACTAATATGTTTGCCGGCAAAGTTTTGCTAAAAATTATTGTTGTCGTGCGTTAAAGTATGCTTTGTAATTTTTTTCCCTCTCTCTCTCACTGTAACGAAGTTGCTGGTAAGCTTCAGCTGCTGAATATATTTTTTTAAGTAAAATATCAATTATACCTGGTGAATAAGGCCTCAAAAATTGAGATTCATGCAATTTTATACTTGATGCAACATGCCTATTCCTTTAACCAAACAGGAAAAATAAAATTGAAGAACGGAAATTTTACAGGTTCCTAAATTTTGCTAAAGAACAGAAGACGAGAAGATAAAATTCGTAACTCCAAGCGGCCATGTAATGTTCTGTTTATTTTATAGATAATGTACCGTCTTCGAAGCCATTTTGTGAGTGAGATTTCTTCAGAGAACCGGCCGCGCGCCTGAGCGGGAAGCTCTCTTGTAATTGGCTAATCATGTTAGTAATTATGCATGGCGACACCAATATCCTCACACGTGAAAGATAAAAATAGTATCTTCACTACGCGCGATGAAGATATGATTTTTTTAGTGAAAGGAAAAAATCCTGGTATGTCATCAGTATCTATATAATAAATAGAGAATAACACATGGGTGCTCTTGGATATGGAATTTCTCTTCGATTGTTTAACTCGATAGCTCATGAGTGAAATGTCGAGTTTATCATCTAAACAAAATAGCCCTTTACTGACAAGAAAAGTTAACTTTAAAAATTTATTACTGAATGAAAATAAAAGGATCTACAATCCACTAATAAAAATCATAGAGTGCGTCGGCGCTTAGGCTCAAGATGAATCGAAAAGGAACGTTGAAACACCACAAAAAACATGCAATGGACGTAATTTTCAATGCCAAAAATTCTCAGTTATTTACTCGGTCCTCGCCGTCAGAAGAAATCCTTTCGGTAAGCGGAAAAAATCGGCCTGTAGCAAGTCTTCCAGTTGTCGATTTTCGTTCTCAGCCGCGAGAAATGCCATTACCAAAGCTACTGAATACGTACCTTTAGGTTTTTCTTTCCGTGTTTTGGTTTTCTTTCCCCTCTAGGGAAGATTGAACGTCACTATAAGCGATACGGAGTTTTCAGTGTTTTAGGAGCCATAATCCGAAAAAATTCGACAAATGACTTTGGATAGAGAACGGCGAAGGCTTTGCCGTTCATTCATCAATCTGACCGAGTGGCGTGAAATGTGACTGACATGTCAGCAGCTGATTGGCGATATCAAATACACGCGAAAAAATACCATATCTCTTATAAGTGAAGAAACGAAAAATAGCGCAACACTCTCAGTTTTCAAGCGTGCAGTAAACCGCGAAATATATGACAGTCCGTAGGAATCTTTTTTAGGTATAGAATTTTAAGAATGTTAGTTATTTATTTGTATTTGTTTCTTTATCATGATATTATTGTAACTTTTATAGGTAGTTTTATTTGATTTCCAATTATTGTAAATTAAATCGGAAGAGCCTCTGGGTGGAGATTTAATAAACTTACTTACTTACTTACTTACATATATTTTCACGTGTATTGCTACGGCTTTTGTCAGGGCTGGAAATCCTTCTATAGCACCGTAGTTTATATGATAAAAAACGTTCTATTCCATTCAATGGTATCACGATTGAACCCACAAAGCTAAATACTTTATCAGACATTTGATTCGTTTTTTATAGTTCATTCCAGTACACTGAAATAATAAAATACTAAAGATTTTTGAGCTTTCGTTTTTTCCATTATAATCTGATTTCATGTCTAACGATCAATCATTGAGGATGTCGTTATTCATGGCGGCCAATCTGAGAAGTATCGGTTTCCCTTATCTTATCGGCTGAAGGCGGTACTCAAGACAAGGCGCACAGTTTTTCCCCAATACTGATCGACCTAGGCTGATGAATAACATTTTTTTTTTCTGCAACTTAACGAAATTCTTTCCAAAGAACCCGACTGATTTAATGCTGTGATTAACTGAACGATTTTTGAGCGAGTCAATGGTAGTTAAAATAGGGGTAATGCAAATTAAAGAGAGAGGCTTCACCGAAACATTTCATTTCCGTAACGATAAAGATGATTTAAAAGGCTTCCAAATAAACTTTGAAACATTATTTTACAAGTGCCTGTCACAATCGGACACCTGTCAATTAGAAAGCGCGTAAGAAAAAAAGAGCGCAAGTATACTTTTGAAAAAAACAACGGGGACTGTCACAACAATGTGTTCTTCAAAAATAGTCAATGATCTTACGGAAAATATTATTTACTCTCATCGACGATTAATTGATATACGAAGTTTTACCTTTGTTCAGTAAGTAAATGGCAAGGAAAGTAATTGTTCGTAAATTCACACTTTTTACTTTGAAGTCGAGAGGGTTTGCTCGTTTGTTTGCAGAAATTGCGTGTGTAAATGTGGTCTTTCCTCCACAAAAACTGAATTCGAATGAGACACTTCAACTTGACATGAGACGATTTAATGTGGCTTTTCCTCTTTGAATCCCTTCAGTTTCTGGTGTGCAATTCAATTTGTTTGAAAAACCATGTAATATGTAGTGAAATCTACCGATTAACTTGTCTCCACGTGCAAGGTTTATTGTGAATTTCACATTGCGTAATGGTCTCGAAATTTTGAAAAAAAACCCTAAATCGCCACGGAATAACTCAACTAAGCCGTTCCAGTTTTTTGTAAGTGTTTTAAATCTACTTCTAGCGCTTTTCGTGGCTTGGTAATACAAAAAAACGCGCTAGAAGAGTTACTTTGAGGTAGCAGGAGATTTAAATGGCGTGCTTGAGCATTGCACATTATTGTGGTACATTAAAGTGATGAATCGCCTACACTGCTTCTTTATTGTGATGAATGCAAACGAATCAGCGTTGATAATCGGCTAAAAGCCGAACCCTTTCTTCAGTGACGATAAGTGATACAAATCGGTCCCCTTGGGAGCGATACACAACCGATAATATGTCAACAGTTTCTGCGGGAGTTCCCGTGAGTTGCAGCTCAAAGACCTCAAACAAACTATCGCTTGAACGAGGGATTTCCTCATGTTTTTCATCGCTTATTTCATCCTTTCAGAGAGCAACAGCTCAGTAAAAATAATTTCCATATCTGTGGACAACGACTTCCCTCCTTAAAGGAGGTATATTTCCAAACGTCTTAATTTGTTCATTAGATACGTCAACAAGCATGAAAACAGGCTGTTCATATATAAACACAGCTGAAAAGACTTAAATGCGTTATTCCTAGCGATTCCTAGCTAGTTTTATAATATTTCGAGATCATTACGCGATGACGATTTCACAATAGACCTTACGAAAGGAGAGGAGTTTTTCGGTATTTTTTATAACATATTTCGTGATAATTCCAACAAAAACTTGCACTTCCCTCGTATCAACATTGAAGAAATGTAAAATGGTTTCCGTGTTTACATAGCCTGATGTAAACACGCGGGAGGTTGCGAGAACACGAGATAAGCCTAGGAAACCACGACGCGAAGGTGTCAGGATTTCACGATTTCAAGGAGCGTGGGCGGAGTTGATAAGCCAGACTTAGTGGTGATAATTT